GAAGAGGGTCTGGCCCTGGCGCAGGTGGCACCGGAAGCACCGATCCACCTGGTCCCCAAAGAAAAGCTCGGGCTGGTTCCGGGAGCTGCTCCAGGCCTCGAACAGAGCCAGGTTGGCGGCAGAGGGACGAGCCAGGTAAAAGATCTGCTCACCCTGGGGACACAGGTGAGGACACAGGTGAGAGGTTTGATCACCCTGGGGACACAGGTGAGGACACAGGTGAGAGGTTTGATCACCCTGGAGACACAGGTGAAAGGTTTGATCACCCTGGGGACACAGGTGAGGGACAGGTGAGAGGTTTGATCACCCTGGGGACACAGGTGAGGGACAGGTGAAAGGTTTGATCACCCTGGGGACACAGGTGAGACACAGGTGAAAGGTTTGATCACCCTGGGGACACAGGTGAGGGACAGGTGAGAGGTGGGGTTTTGGGACAGGTGACACAGTGACACAGGTGAGACACAGGTAAAAGAAAAGATTTGATCACCCTGGGGACACAGGTGACAGGTGGGACAATGACACAGGTGAGGGACAGGTAAAAGATCTGATCACCCTGGGGACACAGGTGTGACAGGTGGGGTTTGGGACAGGTGAGGGGGGTGTGGGGCAGGTGACAGCTGACACATGACACAGGTGATTTGGGACAGGTAAGGGATGTCCCCAGAACAAGGTGCCAGCCCGAGGAGCCCCCACAATCGATGTGGAAGTCGCTGTAGCCCAAAACCCCCAGCCCCAATTGCCCCAAATCCCCTCTAAACCCCCCAAAACCCCTCTAGGACCCCATAACTCCCCCCAAAACCCCTCTAAAACCCCATAAATCCCCCCGAGGACCCCTCCCCATACCCTGAGCACACGGTGACAAAGCCGAGGTGCCCCCACAGTCGCTGTAGCCCAAAACCCCCAGCCCCAAATCCCCTCTAACCACCCCAAAACCCCATAAATCCCCCCAAAACCCCTCTAAAACCCCATAAATCCCCCCCAGGACCCCTCCCCGTACCCGGAGCACGTGGTGCCAGGCCGAGGTGCCCCCACAGTCGATGTGGAAGTCGCTGTAGCTGTCCCTGGCCCCCATCAGGCAGAATTTCTGCACGCTCGGCCTCTCCCGAGCCGACTCCCCCGGCCACAGATTCTCCACCCACGAGAGTTTCCTCACGATCCGAGGGGTCTGCACCAGGTTGGACAGGCTGGGGGACCCCAAAAATGGGATTGGGGGGGAGGTCAGGGGGTGCAGACTCTGCTCCGGAGGGCAGGGGGTGCCCCAGTGGGGAGGGGAAGGATGCGGGAGGGACTGGGAAGGAACTGGGAGAGCCTGGGAAGGAACTGGGAGCAGTGGGGGGCACTGGGAAGGAACTGGGAGAGACTGGGAAGGAACTGGGAGAGACTGGGAGAGACTGGGAAGGAACTGGGAGCAGTGGGGAGCACTGGGAAGGAACTGGGAGAGACTGGGAAGGAACTGGGAGAGACTGGGAGAGCCTGGGAAGGAACTGGGAGCAGTGGGGGGCACTGGGAAGGAACTGGGAGAGACTGGGAAGGAACTGGGAGCTCCTGGGGGGCACTGGGAAGGAGCTATGAAGGAACTGGGANGAGCAGTGGGGGGCACTGGGAAGGAACTGGGAGAGACTGGGAAGGAACTGGGAGCTCCTGGGGGGCACTGGGAAGGAGCTATGAAGGAACTGGGAGCTCCTGGGAAGGAACTGGGAAGGAACTGGGAGCAGTGGGGGGCACTGGGAAGGAACTGGGAGCTCCTGGGAAGGAACTGGGAAGGAACTGGGAGCTCCTGGGAAGGAACTGGGAAGGAACTGGGAGCAGTGGGGGGCACTGGGAAGGAACTGGGAGCAGTGGGGGGCACTGGGAAGGAACTGGGAAGGAACTGGGAAGGAACTGGGAGTTACTGGAAAGGACCTGGAAAGAACTGAGAGGGACTGGGAGCACTGGGAGTTACTGGGAAGGAACTGGGAGAGACTGGGAACGAACTGGGAGAGATTAGCAGCAACTGGGAAGGGACTGGGAAGGAACTGGGAACTCTAAGACAGATGGGGAGCACTGGGAGGGATTAGGAGGAACTGGGAGTTACTGGGAAGGACTCAGAGCTCTAAGAGGGACTGGGAAGGAACTGGGAGGGACTGGGAGGGAACTGGGAGCACTGGGAAGGACTCAGAGCTCTAAGAGGGACTGGGAAGTGACTGGGAGGGACTGGGAGGGAACTGGGAGCTATAAGAGCGACTGGGAAGGAACTGGGAGCGCTGGGAGGGACTGGGAGGGAACTGGGAGCACTGGGAGAGACTGGGAAAGAACTGGGAGAGACTGGGAGGGACTCGGAGCTCTAAGAGGAACTGGGAAGGAACTGGGAGAACTGGGAGCTCCTGGGAAGGAACTGGGAGGGACTGGGAAGGAACTGGGAGAACTGGGAGCTCCTGGGCGGGAACTGGGCGGGAACTGGGAGGGACTGGGAGGGACTGGGAGGGACGGGGAGGGAACTGGGAGCTCCTGGGCGGGAACTGGGCGGGAACTGGGAGGGACTGGGCGGGACTGGGAGCTCTGGACCCACCGCGTGTCCGAGAACTCGAGGCCGGTGACGCTGAGGACGCGCTCGCGCCGGGGCCCCCCCAGGTAAGACACGAACTCGGCCAGGGGCATGCGGAGCTCGGCCTGGCGACACACATCGAGCACGGGCACCACCCTGTCTGCACCTGCGAGCCCAAAAACGGCCCGAAAACGGCCCGAAAATGTCCCGAAAATGTCCCCAAAACGTCCCAAAAAATAGCCCTAAAATATCCCAAAAACATCCCCAAAATGGCCCAAAAACGTCCCAAAAAATAGCCCTAAAATATCCCAAAAACGTCCCAAAAACGTCCCGAAAATGTCCCCAAACGTCCCCAAAACGTCCCAAAAAATAGCCCTAAAATATTCCAAAAACGTCCCAAAAAATGTCCCAAAAACGTCCCAAAAAATAGCCCTAAAATATTCCAAAAATAGCCCCAAAATGTCCCAAAAATATCCCAAAAACATCCCTAAAATGTCCCCAAAAACAGCCCCAAAATCATCCCAAAAACAGCCCCAAAATATTCCAAAAATATCCCAGAGAGCCACACATCGAGCACGGGCACCACCCTGTCTGCACCTGCGAGCCCAAAAACGGCCCAAAAATGTCCCAAAAACTCCCAAAAAACAGCCCTAAAATATCCCAAAAATAGCCCCAAAAATAGCCCCAAAATGTCCCAAAAACGTCCCAAAAAATAGCCCTAAAATATCCCAAAAATATCCCAAAAATGTCCCAAAAATAGCCCCAAAATAGCCAAAAAAATCCCCAAAAAATCCCCAAAATAGCCCCAAAAATACCCCAAAATACCCCCAA